CGGACTCATTGTTGATGGCTTTGAAAACAAAATGGAGTTTATGTCTGAACGATTGGCCATTGGGACCTTTTAGAACAAGGCCAGCCCCGCCCCTTTTGGCATTTGCTGAACCATCCACATGTAGGCCCCATCGTTGCTCGGTATGTCTACAGGTACCACCTTTGAGAGGAATTAATTCTAAGATGAAGTCGGTGACAGCCTAAGCTTTGATGGCGGTCCTCGAGACATATTGGATGTTAAATTCTCCCAACTCGACCGACCATTTGAGCATTCATCCGGATATGTCGAACTTGGACAAGATTTGTTGTAGGGGTTGGTCGGTCACTACTCTGAATGGATGGGCCTGGAAATAGGGATGTAGCTTCCGAGCCGTCTAGACGAGCACTAAAGCTAGCTTCTTCACCAGTTGGTATCGCGTCTCGGTGTCGCTGAGGATGTGGCTCACATAGTAGACTGGTTGTTGCACTCCAGAATCTTCTCGAGTCAATACATAACTAACTACATGCTCGGAGGCCGCGAGGTGGAGACTAAGCGACTCACCCGAGGAGACCGCAACAAGTCGGGGTAGCCAGGCCAGGTGCTCCTTGAGCTGCTCAAATGCCTTTTCACATTCCGAGGTCCATCTGAAGTCCTTTGGATTCTTTAGGATCCAGAAGAAGGGGAGGCATTTGTCCCCTGATCGGGAGAGGAACCAGGCCAGGGCAGCAAGCCTCCCAATCAAGCGCTACTCGATGATAGCTTGAACCTTCTTCGGGTTTGCATCTATTCCCCTCCTTTGGATGATAAAGCCGAGGAATTTCTTGAGCTGACTCCGAAGGCGCACTTAGTAGGGTTGAGGTGCATGCTGAACTTTCACAATGTTCTGAATGTTTCAGCGAGATATGCTAGGTGTGTTCAGGCGAACTTGCTTTTTATGATCATGTCGTTGATGTACACCTCCATGTTCCTCCTGATCTAGTGGGTGAACATCTTGTTCATCATTCTCTGGTAGGTTGCCCCGGCATTCTTCAGCCCGAATGACATGACCTTATAAAAGTATACACCTCGGTTTGTGATGAAAGCAGTGTGTTACTAAACCTCTGGTGCCATCTTGATTTGGTTATACCCCGAGAATGCATCCAGGAATGAGAGGGGCTCATGCCCCGAAGTCGTATAGACCAACTGGTCGATCCACGGGAGTGGATAGCAGTCCTTTGGGCACGCTCGATTAAGATCAGTGTAGTCAACACACATTCTCCAACTTCTATTAGGCTTTTTAATGAGAACTACATTCAACAGCCATTGAGGGTATTTTGCTTCAGCGATGAATCCTGCCACCAAAAGTAGCTCTACCTCGTTATCCACCACCCTTTGTCGGTCGAGCACCAGCTTCCGCGAACGCTGCTTTACCAGTCGCGCTTGGGGACTGATATTTAGGTGGTGTTGCATGACCATCCAATCAATCCCGGGAATGTCTACCGACGACCAAGCAAATGATGGGATATAAAGAGAAATAAACTTTTGTATATGAATAAATACTAGCAGGCCATAACATGTAGTGGAATTAAATGGAATCACAATCAAATAGAACACCAAGATTTATGTGGAAAACCTCTCTAATGTGAAGGGCAAAAACCACAGGACAAACTAGAGATAATCCACTATAAGAATAATGAATATACAAATCTCAATCTCTTGCCCAAAATTCTAGCAACAATCACAAGAGAATAACTGGGATACAAGGATCACGTCACTTTGCACAATATCTAAATTCTCCCCAAGTAATCACAGTAAGAATCTACTATAGATATGATCTAACCTTAGATGAAAACACTGCTAGATGATTGAGAACAGTCTCTCTGCGTTGTCCTTGTCTTCTTCCCTTTCTTTCTCTTGTTTTTCTGCCTTGTTCTCCTCATTTTCTTTGAAATCACGTGGCTGTAGTATTCACCACATTGCTGCAGTTTTATGCTCACTTTCTACCTCTAAAACACAGCCACCCACACCCCCTAATATGAATTAAGGTTAGGTTAAGTGAGGAGGTGACCTGTGGGCTGATAAAGCCCACCATGGGCTGAATGTGGGCTGCCAGCCCAATAGCAAAGACGTCGGCATTTTCAACTAGTAGGTTGATTAGTTGCTCTCGCTCCTCCTTTGGGAGCTCCGACCTGACCTTGACGACCTTGTATGGTTGGTTGCGGTGTAGCAGGACCTCTTGAGTGTGCTCAGTCGGCTCGGGGTGCTGCGATGGCTTGGTGACGTCCCGAGGGTTGACGATGGAACGTTTATTCTTTGGCTTCTTGGGCAACATGACAACTGCTAGGTAACATTGTCGGGATTCCCAAGGGTCGCTCCTTGCTTCCCCGATCCTGGCTCGGATTGGGAATTTTATTGCCTAGTGGTACGTGGAGATGATAGCCCTAAGCTTATTGAGGGTTGGTCGACCCAAAATGGCATTGTACGTTGAGGGGAGCTCCACCACCATGCAGGTCATCATGATCGTCTTGGTCTTCAGCTCTTCCCCTAAGGTGACTGGTAGGATGGTGGTGCCGAGGGATGAAATGGAATCACCTGTAAATCCGGTAAGTGCTGATAGCATCGGCGTAAGGTCTTCCTTGGTCAGGCCAAGCTTCCGGAAGGTGTTAAGGTAAAGGACGTCAGTAGAGCTCCTAGTGTCCACCATGATCCTTTTAACCCGAGCATTGACAATTCTGGCCAAGATCACCAACGCATCGTCATGTTCGGGGTACTCGGTTTCCCTCGCTGGGGAGGTGATTTTCGACACTTGTGATTGCCTCGGACGCTTTTCCACAACTGCTCGGGTGTAAGCCTTTCATCCCGCCATGCTATCCCCACTTGATGTTAGGCCGCCACTGATCACATCAATCTGCTTCTCGACCGGACCCGAAGGGTGGGGCGATAATTCCCGTGGTCTTCTAATGTAGTGACCTAGGTGTCACCGACGGATGAGCTCCTCGATCTAGTTCTTCAAGTTGCAGCACTCCTTGGTGTCATGTCCGTAGTCGCGATGAAATCGGTAGTACTTTGAGCTATCTCTGAACTCACGTGGGGCCTTCATTGGATTAGGTGCCTTCAAGAGTCCTTTCTCCCTGATTTGTAGGAATATCTCTGTTCTGGAGGAATTTAGAGGTGGGAGAGGGGGCCTCGGGATAAAGTATTAGGCTGGTCGATCCTTCTCCTTGGTGGGACCAAGGCTTGCCCTCGGGGCGGTTCCGCTCATGGCCTTTTATGCTCCTCACGCTTTCCCATCATCAGCGCCTCGACAGCTATGTATTAGTTTGCACGTTGAAGCATCTCAGGGATAGTCATTGCCAGTCACTCGACTAGCAACCAGAAGACTCTGGAAGGCCGAAGTCCCATAAAAAATGCCTACATTATCAAAGAGGGATGAGCGTCAAGTAGCCCCTGGATTTCAGTAGCAAAATGAGTCACGAAATGAGAAAGTGGCTCGTCGTCCTTTTGGCTGAGACCGAGGAGCAAGGTCGTGCTAGTCATAGGTGCCCAGCAAGCCAATCATGTGAATGATGGTACGTGTGACTTGACATAGAATATTTTTGCTTATTATATTTTGGCGTATATCACTTTATAACTATTGCATATATGCATATATATATTGTGATGTCCTTGGATTTGTGCAATGAGAATCGGATCGTAATGAGATCACGATAATGAGATCGATTCACCTTTAAACACATATCCTAAATAATCCCGATCATAGGTTACTCGAGAGGGACATTGTGATAACCGGACAGACTAGTGTGCTGTATACCCGTCCATATGATGGATGCAGCTGGTCTCATAGCTGCTCGTGTAGGGATACTAGGGATACAGTACAGGTGCTCATTGGAGAATGAGTTCACTAATTGATCCGCTTATGGAATGCTGGATGGTTGATGATGCCTTATTGTCAGACAGCGATTTCGTAGTCCTAGTGGTGTATCTGGTCCTTAGACTTGAGACACTAAGGATGTCCTGTATGAGTGCTCCACTCTTAATGGCCGTCAACCTCTTAAGCAGCAAACCCATACCTTTTGTGCTGACACCAGTTGTCCTACGCGGCGTCGCACCCGAGCGACGCTGTCCCTGCCTTTGTAAGGTGGAGTCGTACTCGATTGACGTCGTTTCGTTCTTTGCAAGGATGATGTCGTACTCAGTGATGCCATTCCATTCTTTGCGGGATGGCATCGTACCCGAGCGATGTTGCCGTCACACCCAAGCGGTGTCGTTCCACTCTTTGCGGGACGACATCATACTCGAGTGATGCCATCCCAACTTTTGTAGGGCCGTGTTGTATTAACGTGGTCTACCACATGGACTTCGAAGTTTTTCGTTGGCAATGATGTGGTTGTGGATGCTACCTGCGGGCATGTTATCAAGTTGTGCCTTATAATTCTGAAGCGAAAAAGGACGGGTCTTTTACGTGTGCGATGCATCCGCCGAGCCCCATTCCTTCAAAGATCTGGTGGAAGGCAAGGGCGAGGGGCACCGAAGGCGTCGCGGAGGACGGCCGAAGCACTTGATGGCGCGGCCGTAGGCGGGCTTCCCCTCGAAGAAGAGGACACGACACCCTCACTACCTATCGCCCACCCACGACATTCACGTGGGACCCATACTTACTGGATCCTTTCTCCTCCGAAACGACCTTTGCGTTTTATGCAGGTGGAACCCAGCATCACCGACGATGGCGTCTCAGGAATCGCTAGTCGATAGAAATCAGACGCCGAATAATTACCTAATTATTCAAACTCATTCCAAACTAGATTCGAACATTTCTTTTTATATTTACTTAATAAATATTTGTTTCAATAATAAATACATGTTTAATATTAACCAATATTCTTGTCCTTTTATATAGTTGTATTGGCTAAGTAATTTTTCTTTTTTTAAAAAAATCTTCGTTCGAAGAAATAATTATCAGTCAACAACAACAAACATATTGAACGTTCCCTCCCCATAAAAACATTTAGCATTGGGTAAAGTTAACAACCACAAAGATCGGCTTCATCCAATCTAAGAGCTTAAGAATCATAAGCCAATTTTAATACCATCAGCATGTATGTACCATTTATAAATAACATTTACCTATACATAATAAAACACTGGCCACATGCTTCACCGTCCTATGAATTCTCTCAACTTAGCATTCTTGTACAACAGGAGAATGATCTCATTCGCATACAATTGGTATCTTGAACCTGTCTCGTACGATATTGGTTTATGAGCTGTGAGATTTGTCCCTTTTCATTGACCCCGAAGATGATGGTTCGCCTGTCGAGGAGGGGGAATCTGGCAAAGGCTCTTTCTTTAATGATGTTGGCATTCCTGAAAGTTCCTGAGATAAGTGTCACACTTGATAAGTGAGCGTACACTTGAGAAATAAGAAAGGAAAAGGAATAATGTAATCAGATAAGAACTTCCACAGTGACCGTATATATGCATTTACTCGTACAATGAATGAATGATAAATAACTCTATGAAGGCCAACCTTTGGCAAAACTTTTGTTTTCTTGCAAGCTAAAGCCTGCAGCTTTTATAAATCATAAATAATGGCTACATTTATATTATGGGACAGGTACTTAAGCAAAGATAGAGGTATCCAAATTAGTGGGCTTCATATATATAGTGAAATTCACAATGTAATCCATAATGTTAGACAATAAAGGATGGAGAATAAAAGGGAAATACCAGAAATTTGGAAATGGAGAGAAGGATTTTAGAAATAAAAGGAAAACAATCACAAAATTTTGAGTGAGCTACAATGGCAAGTTTACTTTCTATAGACGTGGGTTTAAGAAATGGAATGTTTGCCTTTATTTGTTCAGCACAAATACTATGAATATCAGAGTGTGGAATCTAAAAATAAACCATAAACCACATTTGGATGGGAGAAAACTCACAACAAAATGGTAATAGACAATGCAAATTTGAATGCAGAAAACACATTAGCTTGTGTCGAAAAGAACATTTACATGTCCATATCATAAAACCATTCAATACACAATCAGCTGGGCCAGCCTACATGTGTGCCATTCTTGAACAAAAAACTCCTAAAATTTCGGTAGCTGTCTAAGATGGGAGGATATTTTAAGAATGATTCGAACTTGTGGACAAAACTGCGGTAGTTGCTAGCTAGATAAGATTACAGAAAAACACTAATCTTTCAGCATAGGCATAAAACTAAGTCAAGAAGGTGGTTATAACAAGTAACTTAATGCATTGTCAGTATTATTCAGCATGATGTATAAGTTCTCTTTACTGATTGTTTCCTGAAGGAAAGAGACATGTAGAGCAATTCAAAGAGCACCAACCAGCAATATAGATGCCCTTGTGATAATAATTTTCAGGATAATGGCTAAATGGCCTCCTTTACTTTAAAAGATTTTGTTCAAACCTTAATAATTCTCAAATAAAGCTTCATATCTACTTTTGTAATTTGTTTTCACACTGCATTGAGTTGGAATCTTAACATATCAGGATAAACATGAAACCTGATCACATTTGGCCAAGATCAGGACGACTAACTCATAAAAGATAGATGTGTGAATGCAAAAAGATGGTTATCAGAGAAGAGTAATAACTGACAATGAAATGTAAGCCTAAACTAGAATAATGGGCGGAAGGTCCTACATTTTAAGGAAACAAGGCTCCCTCTGCAATCACATAGAAAGAAATGTATACTTCACCACATTCATTGTTTTGGATTTCTTGATTGCCATTTTTCCAGAAACCATTCTAATCATCGTATAGAAAGAAATGGATACTCCACATTCATTGTATTGGATTTCTTGATTGCCATTTTTACAGAAACCATTCTAATCCTGGCTTGGGGAGATAACTAGAGACCAGAGCATCTAGATAATGACAAGCCTGTCATCCCACACAGTGAAGCCTACTGAATTTAACGGTTAAAAGAATAGAGTAGATATCACAGAAACAATAGAGATATCAATACTTTGAAGCATGTGACTCGTCTTACTCCATAAACTTCTAATATTCTTATAAAAGCATGTTCTCCTTGGGAAAGCAATATATGTACTTGTAAACAAGCAACTCTCAATGACATTTGGGATTGGGTCTATTAAAGCATAAGGCTTACCGATTTAGTTGCAGTAATTTGATGCCACTAATGAAGAAAAGATTTGGAAAAGAGAAACGAAATGTGGAAAAGTGTACCTTCATTAAGTGCAATCTGAGATCAGTTGGCCGAACTCCCTCCCCAATACACACCATAACAAATTGAGAATACTGGTACAAAACATCAGCAGCAGCTTGCTTTTGTTGTTCAGTCTATATTTACACAATAGAATGGTTAAAATCAACTAATAGTAACAGCTTAGGCTGTTAAGACATGAGCATACAACAGATTCTATGCACAATGAAACAAAAGAGTACATTTATATACCATATATCAGTGACCATCCTGCAATACATTGTAGGACCACTAAGATCATTCCAACACTTCAGTGATCCCCATTCTTTACTTACGTAATGCATTAATTAATTCTCTAGCCAAGTTGGATTTTTTCTTACTAATAGAAAAGTTTGTGACAAAAAATAAACCATTTATTTGAGTAAGAATACTTGTGTGGTCATTGTAATCCCAATAAGAATATTACTAAATGTTGAATAGGCCACCTTTTCATGATACAAGAAAAAAGGGATCCAGACAGTGGAATTTTATTTTAAATCCAAGCATCAGCATCCACACAATGATTCATGTCAGATATGAACTGGTGTTGACTTTCGACAATCGGTGCATAGGACACCAAGATATCAATTAGGTGTCAAGTTCCAACAATAATTATCATCCTATTACAACGATGTAAGAAGTTGAATATTTTAGATTTCTTAGGCTTCTTGATAAGAATAATTTATAAACAACTATAATTAACAAATTTATGACATAAGGGTTATATATGATTTGGCCAAAGTTATTTGCCTCCTGGGCATCCTTGTTTCTCCTCTTTGTTTTCTCACTAATGGACTCTTCAACATGCATTGAGACCAATGTTTTTTTCAATTTTCATGTAATACTCTGACACATTAATTCAACTTCTTTATTCAACATAAAAGGCCTCTTTGGATAATAATCTCACACAGATAAATATAAACAAGGCACAAGACCTGCTACAGAAAATGCTCATAAGAAGTGTTGATGCATGTCCTTTTCAAGCCGAAAGAGCCAAATAACACTATAAGGCAAATGAGCATATCCAAATAAAATTTTGGAAAGGACACAAAGGTAGACTAAATAAAGAATTTTCATATGCACCACAAATTATAAGCATTTAAAAACCACTAGAGTTACTCTGACATTTTCTTTGAACATTGTTGACATTGTTATGCTCATGATGCCTAAATCACTCTTCTATAGAAAAGACAGTCAATATAGACATCCATGAAAGAGAGAAGAGTATCACAAAATCAGCATTTCAAAAAGATTTTCTTTTCTTTCTGTACAAATGCTAAGTGGTGAAGGCGGAATTTGATCTGAGGGCCTTGTTTTTAGATAGTCAATGTCTTTTAAACTAGCTAACATATTCAAAGAAATTTTACATATATATATATATATATATATTGTTCATCTAAATCGTGAATGTTATCAAATAATTTTTGCTTTCAAAGCTGAAAGTCGTGGAATATGCCTTTGACACCGATATGACAGCAGAGTAACATCAACGGATCTCTTGATATAATTTGAATAATTATCAAAGGCCTATTGCATTAAGCATAAAAAATAAGCTTCCGAGTATAACGAATTGACACAAATTACATGGCGTACACGGGCGAAAATAGAATTCGACAAAAAAACTCCACTTTCGTATCTAGGGTTTCACGAACCACCCTTTCGATCGCAACCAAAAAAACCCTCCAAAGACGAAATAGAAACGCATGTTTCAACCCGATCCTTCAGCTAATATTATAGCCATACACAGAACAAGGATCATGAAACATTACCTCGTAATCATCCTCCACGATCGCCCTCGGCGTCCGCCCCATCTCTCCACTCCCTCTCCTCGATCTCAAGCGCAAAGATGCAAACCTGAAAAGAACAAGAACCGTCGCTCCCCAAACCCCCTTTCTTCGCCGCCGCTCGACCCTGTTAAGCTACACGTTCGTTCAATTATACCCCCCGACCCAACGCACGACGGTGTCAAATACCTCTTCCGCACGTCACCCAAAGGCTTCGCCGCACGGTGGAAACGTGGCAGTAGATGAATGGTTTCGTAAAGAGCGCAGGTTAAGCTAAACCTGGACGCGAGAAGCACGACAACGAGGTCTAGGTATATCGGGTCGGATCCACTAATGTTCGATGCTAATAACTTATTGGGGATCCATACCGGATCGGATCGGGTTCTTAAGTGCAATCCTGTGTTACCCACTTTGCGGGGCGTTCCGTATTTGGTGACTGGATCCGGCCCAATAAGAGGAGACCCACGCGCCATTTCAAAAAAATAAAAATTAGGTTTTTGCCATCCCGCTTCTATTCCTACCCAAAACACCTCTATAGATCCCCCACCGATCGCTATTCGAAGCTTCTCCGTTCCTTCCTCCCTCTCGTAAGCGCACGGTGACGACGGAGTGAGCGAGAGCGAGGCAACGGTCTTGGGCAGATCCTAACTCCACTCTTTCTCTTTCTTCGGAAGGCGACGCATCTTTGTTCCCTCATTTCCTATCTTAGGTCTCTCTCTCCGATCCCTGATGCATGCTTTCCTAATCGATCATCCAGGTCGGTCAGATTACCTAATATTTGACTTCGTCACCTCGATCCCTATGATATTGTGTCTACTTTACTGTCAGTCGATCATGTAGGCTCTGTATAATTTGTCCGTCATCGGTGGCTTTTTTCTGGTATTTTCTCATTGAACTAAATATTTGTACTTATTATAGGCATATGCTTGTGGTGATTTGATCTTTTGGTTGTTTTAAGTTGGGATTTAGGGTTAGGGTTAGGGTTCAGGGTTTACATTTTAATCTTCTATGCGGGAGCTACATTTTATTTGAAAATTTTGGTCTGGGTGAATTTTTTTTCCTTTTCTTTCGGTGCATATAGGGGTTTGCTGGTACATTTATAGGAATTATTTTTTAGTTGGTTTTATGGGTATCAAAGTTTGTTAAGCTCATGTCTTAATGTGGATATTTTCCTGGAGTTTTTGTTTGGTTAATTGTTTGTTTGATTGATAAGTGATATTGTGCTTATGTCTCTAAATACTAATAGATGAGGAACTTAATTTTCTCAGTAACACCAGATCTTTTGAGTCCTTGACAATGTAATTTGTAGAAATGATTCCTATTATGGCATGCAGACTGGCAGAATTTTGGTTAGGAGAATTGTGTATATAATTGGTAGTTCAAGGTTCTGTAACTTTGTTAAACATGCAAGTGGGAAATATGACATAATGGGCTGTTATAAGTTAATATAATTGGGTGTGTATTCTGGTAATTGAATTATTTGAGCCTTTATCAGGTGATTGTTGTCCTTTAGTCTGTGGTTAAGTCCTTGATGAAGTTGCTTGGTTTTGCTAATTTTATATTTTATCTGTTGGCTTCCATATTGTTCTCTAGTGCCATAAACGTGGTGATGGAGATCACCCAGGTCCTGTTGTCTGCTCAATCTTCTGATGGGCAGATTCGAACTGTTGCTGAAGCAAACCTTAAGCAGTTTCAGGAACAAAATCTCCCTCTTTTTCTACTTTCTTTATCTGTTGAGCTATCAAGTGAACAAAAGCCTCCTGAGTCTCGGAGACTTGCTGGTATCATACTTAAGAATTCCCTAGATGCAAAGGATGCAGTACGGAAGGAAGAACTGACTCAGAAGTGGGTCAGTGTGGATGCATCTATCAAAGCCAAAATCAAGGAATCCTGGTTGCAGACTCTTGGATCATCAGTATCTGAAGCACGTCACACATCATCCCAAGTCATTGCCAAGGTTGCATCCATCGAGATACCACGGTGTGAATGGCTGGACCTTATAGGGCGGTTGCTAAAAAACATGACTCAGCCAGATGCCCCTGCTCCTTTGAAGCAAGCAACCCTGGAGGCACTGGGGTATGTTTGTGAGGAGGTATGTCCTCAGGACTTGGAGCAGGATCAAGTAAATGCTGTTCTCACTGCTGTCGTTCAGGGCATGAACCAGATGGAACATAGTTCTGAAGTCCGCCTTGCAGCTGTGAAGGCACTTTATAATGCTCTAGATTTTGCTCAGACTAACTTTGAGAATGAGGTAGAGAGGAACTTCATCATGAAAATTGTCTGTGAGACTGCTATGTCAAAAGAGTTGGAGATCAGACAAGCGGCACTTGAGTGTCTTGTTTCTGTAGCCTCTACATATTATGAGTATCTTGAGCCTTACATGCAAAGCCTCTTTGATTTGACTGCAAATGCAGTGAGAGTAGATGAGGAGACTGTTGCTCTTCAAGCCATTGAGTTTTGGAGCTCTATATGTGATGAAGAGATTCAAATTCAAGAGGAAATTGGGGAAGATGGTGGGAGCTCTTCTCCCCATTCTAATTTTATAAAACAAGCACTTCCTGTGCTGGTGCCATTGATGTTAGAAACATTGCTGAAGCAAGAGGATCAGGACCAGGAAGATGGTGTTTGGAATCTGTCTATGGCGGGTGGGACCTGCCTTGGACTTGTCGCAAGAACCGTTGGGGATGCAATTGTGCCCCTTGTGATGCCATTTGTGGAGAATAATGTAACAAAGAGTGACTGGCGAAGTCATGAGGCAGCTACTTTTGCATTCGGGTTAATTCTTGAAGGTCCATCCATTGAAAAGCTTGCACCACTTGTTCATGCTGGACTTGAGTTCCTGTTGAATGCAATGAATCACCAAAATAGTCATGTCAAGGACACAACAGCATGGACCCTTGGTAGGATCTTTGAGTTTCTGCATTCTGCAAGTAGTGAATATCCAATTTTGACTACCACAAACCTTCCCCGAATCGTGTCTGTATTACTGGAAAGTATTAGAGATGCTCCAAATGTGGCTGAGAAAGTTTGTGGAGCCATTTATTTCCTTGCCCAGGGCTATGAGGATGACGGTTCCAATTCATCAATGCTCACACCTTATCTTGGTGATATTGTTTCAGCTCTCCTCTCTACAGCTGATCGTACCGACACAAACAATGTGAGGCTTCGTTCATCTGCATATGAAACACTGAATGAGATAGTTCGATGTAGCAGTATACCTGAAACTTCAAACATGATTGCCCATCTACTCCATGAAATCATGACTAGATTGAGCAAGACTCTGGAGCTTCAGATCGTCTCTTCGGAGGACAGGGAAAAGCAGAGTGATCTGCAAGCCCTGCTATGTGGTGTTATTCAAGTAATATTACAGAAATTGAGTTACTCAAATGAGACAAAGTCTATAATTTTTCAGTCTGCTGATCAGATGATGATCCTGTTTCTACAAGTTTTTGCTTGCCGCAGTTCTACCGTGCACGAAGAAGCAATGCTTGCAATTGGAGCCCTTGCTTATGCCACAGGCCCTGAATTTGCAAATTGCATGCAAGAGTTCTACAAGTATCTGGAGATGGGCTTGCAGAACTTTGAGGAATATCAGGTCTGCTCTATATCTGTTGGCGTGGTTGGTGATATCTGTCGTGCATTAGATGAAAAGGTTCTTCCATTTTGTGATGGTATCATGAGTCAACTTCTAAAAGACCTCTCCAGTCCTATGCTTCATCGGTCTGTAAAGCCTCCTATATTTTCATGCTTTGGAGATATTGCTCTTGCAATCAGTGAGCATTTTGAAAAGTACATTCCTTTTGTGATACCGATGCTGCAAGGAGCTGCAGAACTCTGCTATCAACTTGATGTAAATGATGATGATATGCGAGAATATGGTAATCAGCTTAGACAGGGTATTTTTGAGGCTTACTCTGGCATACTTCAGGGGTTTAAAAGTTCCAAGTCAGCTCTGATGTTTCCTTACGCAAGTCCTCTTCTGAAGTTCATAGAAGCTGTTGTTATGGATAAGAATAGGTGCGTAATAGAATACCCTAGTTTAATTTCTATCCATACTTTCATGACATGTACAAATGGTGTTTTGTGTGGTCACTTTCCAGGGATGAAGAGGTAACTAAGGCTGCCGTGGCAGTGATGGGAGATCTTGCAGACACTCTTGGTTCAAACACAAAGGTCCTATTTAAGGATGTTACCTTCCATATGGACTTATTTGGGGAGTGTTTTCGATCAGACAATGACCAGTTGAAGGAGACTGCCACTTGGGCTCAAGGAATGATTCGACGAGTATTAGTTTCTTAAGTGGATATATCTTTCAACAGTCTAACAAAGGTTTCTTTGTCAGGTTAACAAGGTAAGGTTTCTGCATGGTCTTCCGTAGTGTACCAAAGTTTCTGTTCGTGTTATTTCTGCTGTTTCTGTGTTCTTACTGGCAGTGTTTTTCCACCGTAGACCAGGTGGTACATGTGGTATTTGATTCACGATCCACTAGTTTGTGGTCACAAATTTCCTGCTCAATCAATTTCTTTGCTTCTTTTTTGATGCTCAAAATTTTAATGGCTTATTCACAGTGTAGATCAGGTTGCTATCTCAGATGTCAGATTGAAAGGTAGATTGACAATCTTAAGTGAGATTTAGACTTTATGTTAGTCCCAGAAAAGATTATATGTATTAGAGGGTTTTTATGCCTAAAGAATGTGATAGTGGATTTAATTGGGTAAAATCAACACAATTATGTTGTTTTTATTTTTTGTTTTCCAAATTGTGCATTTCATTAAACATGGCCAAATGTGAAAATTAAAAGATCTTGAACCACCCACTGGTTTGTGGAAGATTAAAAGAAAGGATAGGTGGGAGTCTCAAAAACAATAGAAGGATATTGAATCTATCTTTCTTTCTTTAATTTTGATTAGTATGATGATATAATGGTATAGATTATTATACCTAGTGAAGTCAGAAACTAAACAAAATTATTTTAAACACCCAAAGATTTGATTTGATTTTTCTTTTTTTCCTGGTCCTCGAGGCTTAAGGTGAACAAGCATTTTATATGTTAGGATGATGATCGTAAGTCAATTATGAGAGTTATCCATGCTTAGAATTTAAACGAGACAGTTGTTTTTTGGGTTCGAACAGCTCAATCAAACCCGAATGGGGACGTCTCTCTAAAGCACACTGAATAATAATCGCACCCTTTAGTTCCAAATATTTCAATAGATAGATGGATAGAGCATTGGTTGTCTTTATGTTTGCTGAGAATGGTGGGTGATTGATACGTTAGGTCCAGCTTTGGGTCTTCCTCAGAGTTGATATAGTCAAGCTCTCTTTGTTCTTTTGTGAGGGCCCTACTGTGGGTTAGGCGTCGTATGTCACCACATAAATGGCACCTACCTTATCACCACAACAACTTGGTGATACATGAAACATGAGGTCGTGCCATAGTTAGCAATTTTTTCTCTCTCTCGCTCTCTCTGTGTTAGTTTGTCTTTTGGACTTGCGTGACAGCCTCGATGACACAAGGAATCGCTTGATGGCAACCATACATCCAATGGGGAAGGAGAAATTTTTAGTCATATGTTTGAGTTTTGGTGCAAAGAAGCATTGGATTCTTTTGCCCCTCCCTCCTTCCAAAATGGTACGAAAATTACAATCATTTCAGCTTAATTTAATTGATTGATCGAGTGGATGATGTAGTCATCCTTGGCAGACAACTCCTAGTGGGCCTATTAATTTATATTTTAATGGAAAGAACATAAACCATGATTGACCTAATTTTTTTAGTTTTAGTATAAAAAATTAAACATCGTGTCTTAAGAACGATCATTGAGATGGATGCTTCTTAGAGATATTTTTTCTCAAAACAAATCACTCCTCAAGTGTCATTTGTAAAACTAGCTAGCGTACAAGTATATCTCAAACATCATTTCTTTAAAATGATTAAGGATAATTTTTTTCACAACAAATCGTTTCACAAGTGTTACCTACAAAACTAACATACAAGTGTGTCCCAAATATCATTTCGAGATGGATGCCTCTCGGAGATAATTTTTCTCAAAACAAATTGTGTGTCCGATACATCTACTTTGATACACAAGTCGAGTCTTATATGAAAGTTGAAAATTATGTTTTCGATGCTGAAGTAACTGAATAAGAAATATTTCAGTGAATATTTTACTCCTTAATTCATGTTGATGTGATGAGTTTGAGTTTGGTTAAGTGGGCTTTGCGTGTGACGAGTCGCAGCAGTTGATCCGAAATATTAACCATATCACCTACATATCATATGCTTGCCACTAAAAATAAGTTTATCATGTCGTACGAGGAAGATTATTTGTTTACTAATACTTGAGATCTTCCTTTTCTTATCCTTCCTACTACTAGGATGTAAGATGTACACATGCAATGCAATCGTGACTCCATCAAATACTTTTTTGGATTAGTTTGCTTGGGTTGTATCTAGTGATTGATGGATTGTTTGTTGTCCTCTGATTGCCTCTTAGTGGATTAGAATATGTTTCTCTACATGTTGTTTAGATCAGCTTTTGCTCTCCACTAATGAATGGTTGGAGGCCAGATAAAAAAGAAAACATAAATAGGGAGTGAAGACCTCGAGCATATATGTTGCAAGCATGAAACGAGACAACAACACTCATTCTCTAGTCCCATAATTGAGCATGAAAAGTATATTGTAATTTGCATCTTATTAATCCTAAGTTTAGTCCAACATGCAAAAGTGGATAAGAATTTATATCCACAGTATATATAAAGAAAAAAACACTCGACATTAGTGTTAATTGGCCGCAGTTCGTATGGAGATGAGATGACAGGGAAAGTTGACTTTCTCTTCAGGTGTCAGATTAGATTTGGATCACGAATTTTCCAGCTACTGGAGCTTAACCTGGAGAAGCAAATCCTTACTGCTGAAACACAAAGGTTCCTTCTCCACCCACCGAATCCATTATGTTCTTAGTCTCCACTCTCTACAGGCCTTGTTTTATGTGATCGGAGGAGATGGTGCCGCTGCTCCCATTATTCCCACACTCGCAGTCATCATAAAGGACCCATCCCTACTCCTCACTCGTGGGTTCACAGTCTATCAAATGGCCAAATTTGTCAGAATATGTATGTTGTGCCATTCACATATGCTACATAGGGTACCATCTTCATCATCCCTCTTTGGATGTTTGTCACAGTAATCTGCTTAGATCTTGTCGTAATATTGCGTTAGTGGTGACAGTGTTTCCCGCACATCCGTCAGATGACCATACGAACACTTCAGATTCCTTCATCAATATATATTCATCCATTAGCAGCACTACCACTTTTGACGTCCGATCTCAACCCGCCCTTTCTCTCCCTTTCCTGCCAACTGCAAAGCTTCCTGACAAAGATAAAAGAAGCTGTGTTCGGAGAGGAATCAAAGGGTTGTAAGAGAACAGACTTCAACCAAAGCAAAACCCTTGCACACCAAAACCACTAGGGCAGACACAGGAGACCCAAGGAAAGCAATGGATCCTGACCCGGCCGCATCGTCTGTCGCCGGTGATCCATCTCCGCCACCCCCACCACCACCTCCTCAGCAGCAGCAGCAGCAGCCACCGAGTCGGTACGAGTCGCAGAAGCGGCGGGACTGGAACACGTTCCTGCAGTACCTGAGGAGCCACAGGCCGCCGCTGACCCTGGCGGGCTGCAGCGGGGCTCACGTGATCGAGTTCTTGAAGTACCTGGACCAGTTCGGGAAGACGAAGGTGCACGCGCCCGGATGCACCTTCTTCGGCCACCCGAACCCGCCGGCGCCGTGCGTGTGCCCGCTGAAGCAGGCCTGGGGCTCGCTCGACGCACTCATCGGGCGCCTCCGGGCCGCCTACGAGGAGAACGACGGCCACCAGGACTCCAACCCCTTCGGCGCGAGGGCCGTCGGCGTCTACCTTCGGCAGGTGAAGGAGAATCAGGCCAAAGCTCGCGGCATCCCTTACGAGAAGAAGAAGAAGAAGCGGAAGCGCTTCCAGGACACGGAAACCCCCAGCGAAGGGAGATCGGTTGGCGGAGCCGGAGCGGAGGCTTCGCTGTCCGCAGCCGTTGCTGTTTCCGGTGCGAGTGCAACTGGCACTAGTACTGTGGCTGAGGCTTTTAGCACTTCAACGGCAGTCGGAGACGGATCGCTTGCGCCGCCGGCTGGCTCATCAGCTCCTTAAGTAGCTCATTTCCTTTCTTCTTGCTGCTATTTGTCGAGGAAGGATACAGGAGATCGTACACACAAAGTTCTTGGCTAATTCTTCATATTTCCGAGACCAATTCGGCATGTTTTGATCTTTTGATCCTTCCTTTCTCTTTCTCTGCCCCTTTTCTTCTGATTGAATTGGTGCACAGCATCGACAATTGTAATCTCTTTGTTCCCTATCCGTATGAAGCCGACAATTCTATTACTTATGTGTGTTGGCGACGGCAAGTGATGGGTGTTCATCTGATGAAAGCAGAAAACTTACCAACAGCAGTCTGATTATTCTTCTGATGTCTCCTTATTTTGCTGCTATTTAATTATCAGCTTCATCAGAAGGCTGCTGTATTCTCTCTACCTGTGAGCTTTGATTCCTTCTCTCCTTCCAACATTGGCTTGCGAGGGCCAAACTGAGGAACTCGAACCCTACTCGTCTCCATGTTTGAAAAAGGACACTGTTTAGACTCAATGGAAGTGAGACTTCCACAGAAATTGTTGCCTTATTTTATGATTCATATGCTGTTGAATCGGACTCATATCTCCTGCACAGTTACATCGAGTGTCACATACATAACCTTACGGCATCTCATAAATCTCGTCTGCCTCTTTGCTATCATGAGCATAAATCAATCAATACTACATTTGTCATATCTTGATCAAAGGTGGCTGAGAGTGTCCACTCGGTTTTTTCTACACAGGGAGCCGCCGCAGAGAATGACAAATGGGACCTAAGTTTCCCTGTCAGCTTGTGTTATCAACAGTTGTATCCTCGCTCGATCGTCTTTCTATCGCTGTTGTCAAGCTTCTTCTGCATGCAATATTATCGTGGGTGAGAAGAGAGAAAGAGGGAGGATCTGCTTCGCTGCAAGCCGAACTCATAGTTACTGTACACTAAAGGGAAGCAGCAGCAGCAGCAGCAGCAGCAGCGGCGGCAGAAGAGATTCTTGTACGGCCCGTTGGAGAAGCCGACTTTTGTTGCAGTGAGAAGTTTGAACGACTGAAAAGCTTGCAGGTGGACGCTCGAGTGCGCTCCATTATTTTAAGAGGGAGATGGAGGGATGAAAGGGAAAGGCACGGCAAGCCAAAGTGATGAGGAACTCGTCGTCATCTGTGATCTAAATGAATATATACCTTAAATAGCCCGAACTACAACTGCGTTCATCACTTGACGACGTACTGCTCCAGTTGCCATTTTTCGTTCCTTCTTTCTTTTCTCTTGATATGATCTAATTGGATTACCATTCACCGAACTGTAGCAGCAGATCGGATGTGGTTGTCTCTTCTTTCTTGCTTTCTTTCAAGATCAAGACAGCATAAGATAAAAAGCTGGAATTCTGCTTTGGAGCTCCATAATTATTGCGGGGTAACACTTTCAGTAGGAAAAGAGATAAAAAAGGAGAAGCCGACAGCCAAATTTAAATGTTGAGAGTTTAGCAAGTCTTGCCATCCGACAATTAATTCTTGTATCATCATTTCAACTCTTTCTTTCTTTTTGGGTTATTTCTTTAATTTCCAAATGATCTATTTTAGTCCAAAACACAATTTAACACCACAATTTATCGTCCGCGAATACTTTTTTTATAGTCCTAACTCTATTTCAAAATGGATAATTTCGGTTTTATCGAATTTAAAATTACAATCAAATCGGTTCTAGGTGATTCTAGTTCCCATACGATTTTCGTTTCGAAACTTTTTATTTTAATTTTTAATTTTTATTTTAACCCTCCAATTGGTTCTTTGCTAAGTTGTTTGAAGGACAAATTCATTAGTCGAAGAACGTTTAATTATTTAGATTTTTTTTTGATTGATCTAAATCGAATCAAATAGTCGATTTCGATTTCGTACCGATACTAAACCATTAGAACTCGATTGGATGTTGAGAGTGATAAATTACAAATTATCTTATGCTATGAATTTAATAGCAAATTGATATGTTGGTAGAGATCAAGATTACCATTAGGCACAATAATTAAATTTATAGTTAAATAGTATATCTATCTAATCCGAAAAACCAATACTTTTATCTTTAATATATGTACGATTCATTTATTTGATAGGTATAAAATTAAACCATCCAAAATTATAAAGTCTAGATGAATAGTAATAACTCATTTTCTTCAACTTTTGATATAAAACTAAATTGGGGATCGGTATATACGGTAAAACGCAGTTTTGTGGTAATGTCATGGGAAGACTATATATGTAGTTGAGAGCTGCATCAACGAGTGCCCCATTAGAGAGCCAGCAACTGGCCATCGGTGGCTCATCATGTTCTCCAGTACAAAGCTCTTTTGGTTGTGTGTTTTCCTGCCTGTCGTGCAGCGGTGAGCCTACAAGGTATCATCATTTTGATGGAAACACCTTGGAATAGTGGAGCAAGGACCGGTGGCATGCATCAACGTCGGGCACGTACATGGTGGCATGATGGCTGACAGGGAGAAGTGACCAAGGAGCAGCAGCAACGCTTACTCCTGCCACTTCTCTCTCCTCAGTATCGTCAGTCTCACCCGTGGCTAAGTTCGATGTACGCAATGAACCAAGAAAATGGAGGTGGGAGATGTCCACTGTTTAGCTTGGTTCAGCACAGTCGCCTCACTGCACAAGCATCAAAGGAAGAAGAAGGCGTCGGCAATGGAAGGAGGGACTCGATCCAGCCAATTGCAATGGGATGGAGGAGAAGACGTCGGCAATGGAGCGGGGAATGCGGCGCAGCCGACTGCAAGTGTGCAGCGAACTGTGGTGATCCGACAAGCCACAAGTTGCTGGGTGTGGGGAGTCGGGAGTCCACGTAGTAGTGTAGTCCGTGAATGAGGCAGCATTACTCTCTTGTACTCTTCTCATGCTGTTGTTTGACAAGCCAAGCACTATATGAGAGAGAGAGAGATGGCAGCATTTGATTGGTTTGCTGCAAGAGATCTCATTCAAGAGTTGGAATCCTCAATTGTAGCGTCCACCATGCTTCAATATTGGCACCATAGATCATGTCTTGTGTAATTACAAACCAGATGACTTGTCTTCTGAAACAATCAAATCAAAAAGAGTGAAATTAGTAAGTTGGATGGTGAGTATTCTTCTCGGATGTATTTATATTAGATTTCACATACCCATATATGGTCACAGGGACCGAAAAGATCTACTGGGGGCAATTCGATCACTAGATCCTGCAGTGGATCCTCATGGAAAGGCTGAGAGTGGGCACCAGTAACTTTGACCAAATCATTAAACCCTGTAGTAGGACAAACATAAAGCTAGAGAGCAACTAGTCCCGCAGACAAACATAAAGCTAGAGAGAGCAATTGATACACTGTAATATTACCATTTGGAAGCAAAAGCATTTCTTTCATATGATTTAAGATAATCTAGATAGATAAAGTCTTCTATTTTTTTTTTACTTTCAATCAGAAAAAAGATTAAATATTGGTCATTATAAAAAAAAAAATTTCTGAATCAAGATATATTTAAATTTATTTTACTGAGTCTTCACTATAAATAAAAAAGTGCTGTCATAGTTTCGATTCTTCTCTCTCTTTCTACTTAAGCATCAGAATGATTATGTCGAGGGTAAATCGTCTGTCGGTCTTCTATTTTAAGAATGGAGGTTTATGAAAGCTTGGTTTGACTTTTCGAACATCATCCTATGTCCGTTTCTCCCTTCCATCGTTCCTCTAGTAACTCTTGTGTCAATTTTAGGCTCGAGACAGGTCGGATCGTCACCGTGGCTCCCAATCGATGATCAAATCAAAAGACTAATCGGTAGTCGTTTCGACTACTGAAAATGGCTTGGACAATGACCCAAGCAGAAGAGAAGTTCCAACTGTGGGACACAAGAGACAACAAGGATCATTAAAGGCCATGCAAGTTGCATCTCAAGTTGCGGACCATCTCATTCGCCAGTACCATAGAAATAATACCCAACAGAAGAAAGCTCGAAAGAAGGGGAAGAGTAGCAACTCAAGGACAAGAACCTGATGGAGAAATCAAGTAAAGAGACCCCAACTTGCTTCTCTTTTATCACCAAGTTGAGGTTGCCAGTGTCAAGTTGCTCCGCTGGCCGAACAGCTGTTGATTCGCCCATTAATGGGGAAATAATACTCCAATGCAACTTGCAGCTGCAGAAAAATGGACGACGCCTGCACTTCCCACCATCTTCTTCTCTCCTATGAGAAGCTTTATATGGTGAACTGTGATTCTGAAAGGCATAGGTAGTATTGGATTGTGGATGGAATGTTGTTGTGATCGATGTCGATGAGTTCTACTGCTGGGGATTTGTTATGCCAACTCCTAGGTTTTGAAGACGAGAAGAAGCATAGAACTTGCTTAAATGTGGATGGGGTCTTCACAGGAATCCCATCTCATTCCAACTTGACTAACACTGTAATGTTGATCTAATCTAACTCCATTTTCAAGTTATCAACTAAACTTAGTTAAGATCTTGAATTCGACTTCTGCCTGCCTTCGCTATTTACCTTTTAGACAAAAAAAAAAAAAAAAGCTAACATATATTTATAATATTATTATTTCTGAAAGAGATTTTTTTTTTCCCCCCCACCGAGAGAATGGAGAATAGAAACTATCCTTTATCTTATATTCCGTTTAAATTCAATGATAATAAATGTCTCTATATCCCATTTTAATGCGTCAATTTTAATAAGGTAGCAAAAAGAGGTCTAGAGAAATTCGAGAGTCCATTTATATTTAATAAGCTTAGAATTAAAATATATTTATATAGTACTATTTACATAGTTTTAGATTTGTGATTGTCAAGCAATTTGATGAGGAAATATATATATATATATTTGATATCATGACGTATCCGAGGTGGTACGTTAGTGGATGCTTTGTCATATCTAAATTGACTCTGCTACCCCCAAAGTCTGATGACAAAACAAGACATAGAAAGACGTCATTGTATATATATTTTTTAAATAAAGTAAAAAAAATCATCATCCATTTTTTTCACCGATGAGAGTTTATAGAAAAAAAGTGAAACATACGTGTCCAAGATATTATTATTCACAGCATAATGTGTTATTTTGTACTACACTCGCAAAATAGAAAGAAAAAAGGGGCAAAGAGAACATAAAGGTGGAGGTGAAATAAGAAGACTGCGAAACGTAAACGAACGATGGGAATCGAGAACCCCACCCATCCAATTACGGGTTCGCCCTCCTAACGCCGGCCTCGATACCAGCGACGGCGGTGCTTTGCCTGACGAGGGCTTCGGCGATCCGCGCCAGCGACTGCAGGTTGCACTTCACGATGGTGTCGACGAACACCCGCGTCTCCTCCGTCGTGTTCCCTGGCGGCACGTCCACCACGTACGATTCCACCACCAGCGTGCAGCCGCCGCCGGCGCTGCCTCCCACGACCGGGTGGAGCGTGGTCACGGAGCAGTAGTTGGCGAGGCGGTGCTCGCCGCCGACCACCCGGAAGCTGAGGACGTGGCTCTCGTCGTCGAGGATCTCGAGGCGCTCGGTGCTGGTGGCCGCCGGCAGGCCCGACACGACGCGCACCTCCCGCAGGGTGCCCACGTCGCCGTCCCCCACGATGACGCTGCAGCTCTTCACGAAGTGCTTGTACACCTGCGGCTTGTCGAAGCGCCGCACCACCGACCACACTGCCGCCACCGGCGCCGCCACCGCCTGCACCACCGCGGAGCAGCACTGGTTGGGCCCCACCGCATGATCATGGTGCCTCGCGACCGCCTCCTGCACATCATGCGCCGCGCACATCTCCCCCGCGGGGTTCTCGTAGTGCCCGGCCACAGCCTCCAGCACCTCGTGCGCCGCCGTGCACCTCTCCCCCGCCATCACCGCGCCGCCTCCGACGCCCGCGGTTGCCCTTTGGTGCGGGACGTAAGACGCGGCAGCAGGGACGCAAGCCATTGCTTTGCCTCCTTATCAGTCCAAAAAGAGAAGAGAAGAGAAGAGAAGAGAGAGTGAGAGAGAGAGACAGATATTTGGGCAGAGGAGTAAGGGATGGAGAAGAGGGGATATATAAATAGTAATGAGCTGGAGAAGAGTTGTCTCCCTTGACACAGCAAATGGATTGTTTCTTTCTCCTTCGTTATTTGTTTCTGGCTGAAGATAGTTATTTGAATTGTGTTCTTACTGACACAATTAAAATATATGCACGTATTTACTAGCATCTTTAATGAGAAAATTATGGTGCACACAAATCTATGAAATGTTCTTTCCAATCTTGTGATCCAACACTGAAATATGATGATCTATAATTCCAGCATTCATATATATATATATATATATATATATATATATATATATATATATATATATATATATATATAAGATTGAGAGGAAATCTGCAGACAATTGGGTGGATAATTACCAAGCTCAAGTCAAATGAGGACTTTTCATGGGAAGATAAAATGAGAGTGTCACAAGAGAACATGAATCTGGATCTACTTGGCTCTTACAGTCAAACCTTAGCTGCCCAGTTGGCCACTAGCAACAAGTGATGTTTCATCACTGTTCTCTATTGGACAAATATTATCCATATACATATATCAAATTGATGTGATATTGTAGGGCTAACCATCAATCAAGAAACAAAGATAGTTTGAAACATCAGCTAATAATAATATCATCTATGAAGGATTCTCTTGCATATAAATTGGGAAGTAACCCAATTAATGAGAAAGAGCGACATAATCCACATAGAACCCACATTTGGTAAAACAATTAATTTTTTACAGTGAGTGTGAAATCATATAAATATTTTATTGACTTTCTTATTTATTTGATCTCTGATCTTTCTATTTTGTGAGTTGAGTTTTTCCATCTGGAAATCCATCCACTAAAGTGGAGTGTTTCTGATGAATTTATAACGAAGAAAGAAAGAAAGAAAGAAAGAAAGAAAGAAAGAAAGAAAGAAAGCAGCAAATGGGGGGCAGTCAGTCCAGTCGAGTCCAGTCCACTTGCAGGGATTGTTCAAGGCAATGGATAAGCAGTGGGTTAAAGCAGACGGAGGTGACGCAAAGCGCAAGTGGTACCAAAAAAGATGGGGTCGTACTCGTCAACTTCACATGTAACTCGTCCCGCTTCTTTGCACGCAGTGTCTTCCGGTTGTCATTTTCCTCGTGCAAGGAGATGCATGGCTTGGGGACAGCTCGAGGTGAGTCGATGGCCGTCTCCTTGGAGTGCACACGGCCAGCATTTACTCGATGAGTGTGATGCCTATTTATTGCCTACCATCCATTTTTTCTTTTGCGTGTCCAACTTTTCTTTTGTGTTCCTGCATCAAATACTGCAGCAAAACAAAAAAACACTGCTGCTGCACGGATTACGCATGCAGTACTTGCATGGCCACCAGGAATTCTGCCGACACGTATTTGTTGGTCCTGAGAATGAGAACCATCGCCTTCCTCACTTGTGTCTTCTGTCTGTAGTCGGGAAAAGACGTCCACGGTCACTCGGTTAAGTTGATAAGAATGCTAACCCACCGTGTGGGATCTGCACATTCTGATTTAGAATTGTAGCAATAAGATGATGCTAAAAAAACACACCGAATAAATATAAATTTAAACAAAAATGTAAATCTTATATATTTCCGGAACCATTTCTGATCCCATCTTTGCACCGACCCCAAACAGCAATGACAATGGAAGAAAGGGTTTCGAGTCAAAAGCAGAGGCAGATCGCTGTTCGTCAGAACTAAGCGATGGAATTACACATGGATGGGTTTACTAACAATCTGCAAAGAATAGGTGGTCTTCACATCTTACCTAATTGCTTTCTCTTGCATAGCCACATGTTTCTTCCACTACAGCAGCCCAAGCAATGGCAACTTTCTCTGAATACTCGACCTTCTCAACATGCAGAATGCAGAGGACGGAAGCTCATTAGTTCCATTTTACGGATGAGATAACCAATTCGAAGTAAAGCATGATAGCATAATTGAAGTAGATGATCTTGTACATTCACACATCAGAGTTAGTGTCACCCGAAAAAGGAGTACACTGAAACGAAAGTGTTTACTGTCAGCTAATGCACTTCACGATGCTAAAATAATGATACATTTTATAGATCCTGATGAATAGAATAGATGGTTCAAATTTGTGGTGAAAAATGTCAGCACAAAGTGATCGGAAAAGTAGTACTACAGATTATTAATTTGAATATATTCAGTTGTATATATTAATCAGTAGAGAGACCTTCGAAGTTTTAGTCTGACACAGTAGGAATCGTGGACAGTTCACTTTTATCTAATTTATTTTCTCTTCTTTTAAGGAAAAACCAATGAACAGATGAAGGTCATAATGGCAGCACCACCAGCCACACCGATATGGTCTAACAAGGAAACATAATCGTATAACACAATGAAGACACAGTGTTATATTTGCAAATGCAAGACTAGTGGTGAATGATCAATAGCTTCTCTTTTATAGTCTTCGAGATCATTAAAAAAGATTTGGTGTTTCAGCTATAGGAAAGCCTTTGCCTTTGCATAGGCACAGTCCAACAAGGCAGTTGAAAGAAAGTCGAACATAGTTTGATGCACATATTTCATCTTTATAATATGAAAATTGCAAAATGAAGAGCAAGACATACCTGATTTATTAGAAACCCTTTAAGCATGCTTAGAAAATCATCATGCTTCTCTCTATCTAGTCTCTCAAGCTCGTTCCGGTTGTTTTCCTTGCATAGAAAACATAACCTGATTATATTCTATATTTTCTGCATATATTTGCAAAGTTCATTATTAATAAGAACAATTGATGTATCATAATTATTTATTCAGATGAACTGAACTTGGTTAACAGAGAATAATGGAAATGTAATATAAGAGCATGCATCATATTCATGTTTAGCACCTCATTTTTCTGTCATCTAATGCAGAAAACCTACTTATTCATCATCATAACAGTAAGAACAACCTCTCCATGCAAAGTCAACCGAATTAATATATGTCTTAAGTTAGGAAAAGAACAAGCAAAAAAGTGCATATAAGGAAGAAGTAAAATTAAATATAGGAAAAGTGGACATCCTTAAATTCACCCCACAAAAGTCACTATCTATTTAATTTCTTGGTTAAATTCTCCCCCAAAGTCAACATCACCAAGTAGTAACTTCAGCAAGTGCTAATAAGCAAACAACTGCAACATTCGACACAAAAAATGATACCTCAATTTGCGTAAGGCGAAGTGGGAAGTACCTTTATCCTTTCATACTCTCCAAGTGCACAGCTTTTAGCATCTTCAGTAACCCTTATTGTTTCGTTAAGTTCCTCCACTTTGCGGAGTCCTGATCGGTCACCACCAAATATCTTCGAAGATGCAACCTCAAGTTTCTCAACCTTTGCATGCAAAGTTGATAAATCTGTCATCAGCGTTTGCGCCGTCAATAAAGCACTGGTCCGATCCGAGAATGCACTCTGAACAGCTAACATTACCCCAAGATATTCATGTAGAGTGTCCTGTCAAAAAGAAATCGGACCAAGGAATAAGGAAAATTTTAGAAGCCAAAATTAGCATATACTATACGGTTGATCTGTGTGTTACCAGATGCTTTACGGTTTGAGCATTCAGTTCGCGATACAATCTGCTTGCTTTGACAGCAGCAGTTGCCACACATTTGGCATCAGCTGATAGTGTTTTCTGAGAGCTGAATATGGCCTCCTCAGTCTCAAACTTGGTGAGTTTGATGAATGCCAAACCCATTTCTCCCATTGTCTCACCAATATCTTGTTGTGCTTTCACAAGTGCCTCAGCCTGAATCAATATAAAACTATTCATATTGTATATTACAGAAATGGCATACGATTGAAAGTTCAAATAGCACACAACCATGGGGCCATTACGTCCTTGCTGTTTCAGATTCTAGGCATGTTAATTTCTCCCAGACAGAACCAAAAAAACTTGTGCATGCTAAAGCACATATCTCTCTTATGTCTGGATTATCTATACTCATGAAAGATTCATAGTCGAAAACCAACTACTGTTATGATAATAAGCTTAGATTTTAGGCCAAACAATCACAGCCTATGTCTGCTTCTATTGGACATTGAGCATCAACATTCAAGAAGTTTGTTATTACTTTGCGAGGTACCACAAAGTTAAGCCACTTAAAATGATGGAAGGTTATGATAAGCACCCAAAGGCATTATGTCCTCGCTATTTCAGATTCTCTAGTCATGTTAATTTCTCTCATACAGAACAAAAACCTTCTGTATCAGAACTTAGTTTCACGTATACATTTCTTTTTCCTATGTTATCTATGCACACTTGTCGACCGATTAGGATCCATACACACTTAATTTGGACCCATCATGATATGTATGTATCAAATTAGCAAGACTCTAATTCAGATAAAATCGAAAGTGGCACAAGGTAATAATCAAATCACAAACAAAATTGGGATCATCATTAACATTGCAACAATCATGATTGATTGTTACCTGTTGAGAAGCTGTGCAGAGCTGCTGCTCGAGGACCTGCATCTTCTCCTTCCTCTCCAAGAACTCTCTATCCTCTTCCACCACCAAGGGCTTGACCCCTCCCCAATCATTAGCCACCGCCTGCTTCAGCTCCTTAAATATCCTCAACAGGTCCCTCCCCTCCTTTGCCGGCTGCACCACATCCTCCGGCGCCACTCGACCAGCTGCCGCGTCCCCAAACAGCTGCTTCGGCAACCGCACCGCCCCATCTAGCATCCTCGACGCCACATCGGTGGCCGCCGGCAGCGGCAGCTTCCCCTGCGCCTGCAAGAACACCCTAAGCTCGTCGCTTCTCCCAATCACGGGATGCTCCGCCAGCCTCCGCAGGTACTTCTCGAGCTCCCACCGCCGCTGCTCAACGAACTCGTGCTTCTGCATCACCTGGCCGTCGACGAGGCTCTTGTCCGGCCGCTGCGGGATGAAGTACCCCCGGTACGCCTCCGCGAGCCGGGCGGCGAGAGTGACGACGTCGCGGAACCTCCGTTGGACGCAGAACACCGAAGGGCCGCCATGGCCGACGGCGCGGACCCAGGTGGTGATGGGGTAGGTGACGTAGGTGGTGCCGCCAAGGACAGGGGAGTTCGAGGTCTCCTGCATCGTTTCCGGATCCGACACGACGATCCTGAGATAATCCGAGGCGGCGGCGCGGGGGGGATAGGACCCGCTGCCGGGGATGGTGACGGCGTTCTGAGGCTCAAAGGTGCTTTTTAAGACGACGTCGGCGTACGATGGCGGTTCGACGAAGAAGGGAAGGGAGGAGGGTGCGGTGGCGTCGGAGAGGTCGAGGCTCTCCATCTCTTCCCTCACTGCCGGTGATTCCGACGCGAAGAAACCGGTATCTGGGTCCATCATCGACGAAGCCGAGGAAACGTGAGGAGGCTGGCAGAGGAGAGATGTGGAGGGAGACGACGAAGGGCACGTGGTTGTGTGAGCAAAGCCGAGGTGGTGTAAAAGGGTTGCCAAAACTTGAGTGCGAGAGGAGACGGGAAGGGGTGGCGCGTGTCACGTGACACTGCATGGTATTTTAGCTCAAACACGGAGGATTGAGAAATGACAGAAAGGTTATTATCTTTCAATATATGTCTTTGTCATATTTATTGAAAGAAGAAATAAAAATTATTCTATGTGAATATGGATCCAAAATAGATTATTATAAATTATTTTTATCCTTATCATGATAGAGATTAATTATTAAATAAAAGTTATCTTATATTACTGATGGTCGTATGTATTTATCTCGGATTATTAACTTAGATATTAGATAAATTAGGTTAGAAATTTTTTTTTTTATCTTAAGTGATATCTCGAGAGCTTGATGTTTCTATCTTCGAGGTATTATGAACAATCTTATATATATATATATATATATATATATA